GCAACTTATCGTCGAGTCATTCGTAGCTTAATATGTGAGCCTGCACACAAAGCGTTTCAACGGACGGCACCCTTAGCATTAACTTCTCGATCAAATCTTTTCTAGCGTAACAAAGTGTAGAAGTGTATACTACTGACTAATTAATATCCTTTCAAATTAAAATAGGCAAAGAAACAAGGCGAAGTCGCTGAAATAAGCAGCTTCCAATCTTCTAAGTTCGTCAAATAGCGCGTATGGTGTGCAATACGCATATTAAGTTACAAATGACTCGAGCATAGCTACTTACTATAGCTCATTTTGACAGATCTTGGTAATTCGCCAATTTTTAAAAAAATCTGCCTTTCCATATTACGTCGAGCTTTCTAAATGCAGCTATTCCGTAAACCGTAGTCCCTTTTTTACACTGGTGAGGTTACAGTGATAACTACCGTACTCCTGGTAGGGTGATATTGCTGTAATTAGTCAACATAACTTTATGTGGCATCTGTCTTGCGAGTACAGGTATAGGGACAAATTTTGAGCTATATGTAATTTTGCAACCTTTGATTCAACAGGCTTGGCGGCTAGAAGGCGGGGCTTTGGGACCTAGTTAAGGCTGCTCGCGCCCGCGACGCAGTCTGCGTCTCTCCCGCGCGCGTGCTTTATCGTCATTACCTAGCCTTAATTAGGTCACGAAGCCCCGCCTTCCAGCTGCCAAGCCAGTTGAATGAAAGGGTAGATGGGCAAGGACCAGGGGGGGGGGTTGAAGGGCAGAAGAATGAAGAGCGAGATAAGGCTGACTATTATTTGGGGGCTGCGCGGTAGCTGACTGTGTCCACTCAAGCTTCAAGGTAGCACTGCGTAAAATTGCGAGGTTATTGTAGCAAAGAAAGCCCACGTTACAATACTGTAATGTATGCATTTAAACTTCGCACGCGGTGACTTTGTAGGTATCTGGCAAATTGCCAAATTGCGTCAAGACCACGATTGAGCAGAATCGCGTGGGGCCAACGCATAACATCTTCGACTATATAACAGGCGCGTCTAAACATAGAAGAAAAGTTATCCTTTGACTCAACTGGTTTGGCGGCTGGGAGGCGGGGCTTCGTGACCCAATTAAGGCTATATAATGATCAGAGAGCACGCGCGCGAGGGAGACGCAGACTGCGTCGCGGGCGTGAGCGGCCTTAACCAGGTCACAAAGCCGATTAAAAACTATCCTCACTATGATCCATTATCAATGGCTCCATGAGTAATCTCTCAAAGGATTTCGCTAACCTGCAGCTCAAGAACGGAACATTTTCCATGAGATTGCCAAGATCATAAATTGCAAGCTAAATGTGATACAGTCCAATGCTAGCGTTCTCTCTCTGAAGAGCCTTTTAAACCTTTCATAGCCGTTTCCAAAAGCTTTTCCTTTCCCCATATTCATTTCTCTAGCAGGTCACATCATTTCTTGCGCGCGTACGTACGGTTAAGGACGTTAGTCTCATCCGAAACTTGTCTACCGCGATTTCGCTACCGTAGTTTTTATGTAAAGAAGGTAATTAAAGTCGCAATTAGCTATGTCGTCAGAATCGCTACGTCCTGGAGGGAACTCTTGAACAGCGGGTCGCGAGACTCATTAGATGATCATGCATTAGGGTCTACAAACACGAAGAATAGCAATAAAATGAATAGGAAAAATGCCCCGGGAAAGGAGCTCGTTCCCTTCCTTTTCCATTGCAATACATGCCTTTTCGAAGCAACACTGAGAAATGTTAGAAGCTGCTGTGCGTGCTGGATTTCGTAAGCTTGCTGCGTTGCTTTTTTGTGCACGTGAAGAATGAGAGCGCGCAGAGGGTGATAAGCTGGAGAAGTGCGGAATGTCGAGGACACCCGCATTCAATGTGAAGCCATGGAATAGATCCTTCCTGCCGGTCCTATGGCGCGTGATAGTTTGCAGATGAGGATCATGGTGTGAAAATGCGTCACACTATTGGAGATTAACGATGTTTATTCATGAGATTTTTCCGGGTCACTTTAATGTTACGGCGATCATTTGATATTGGTGACTCTAATAAAACTGAAGGTGGATATGGAAAATTTGTACGGTGCTGTACAAATATCTATTTAAAATTGATTATGTTATCAAAACTGAATTCTGTTCTATCTTAGTTTTGTTCCTCCCCTCAATGCAGAAGTAGTGGCATGTCAAAGTGCTGCGGAACCGCTGGCATTTTTCCGAAGTTCCGCAGCGCTTCGGAAAAAGTTCTGCGGAAGTTCCCGTTCTCAACCAGTTTGACGTAAAAGTTTTGCGGAAGTTTCTATTTTCAACGCTTCCGCTTTTGCAACAGTAAACAAAATCCCGCGGAACCGCTGCAAATTTTGCTTGTCCTGCAGAAGTTCCGGTAAATTGTCTGAGCAGGCTACCGCCGGAAGCACTCGGTAAGGAGATAGAGCTTGACTTCTAAAAAAAATTGGTGGATTCATTCCACACTTCAAAAAAAACAATAAAGATCATTTTGACTACGTGAATCCATGTACAACAAAGTGAAATAGTTCTTGAATTTGTTTTGCTTTTACTCACTCTAAAGATAGGCGGACATGCGATCTTCAGGGATCTCATCTGGTAGTACATCAGAATTGTGAGGCCTACGTACAAAACAAAAAAAAAATTAATTTTTGTAAAGATATGCGTGGTGTCGGTAGTTGTGGCAAATATTCAAGTATATGTTTCCACTTAGATAAGTACAATACCGCTCACTCGCGAACTTCCGCGGAACCTCCGGAATTTCGCGACATTCACGGAAATTATGCAGGTTCTGTGAGCGGTAGCGTTTAACAATGGATCGAATAGGTTATGTCATAAGATACTATGCATTTCCTTTTGGATAGCCAGTATACAAAACACATGGCCTAAAAGTTCTCTCCCCCCCCCCCCCCAAAAACGATTGATTAGAGCAGTAATCATTGCTCCCAAATTTATATCTAGCTTTTATAGAATAGTCCTAACTAAATCTTGTAATTTTAAGTACGATGTATACTTATGTTCTCAGTTAATTCTTTGAATATGCTCGCTACAGTTACTTCTTGCAGATTATTTATTCATATGCAATTTCTATCTTTTTTCTTTCAGTGAAAGGAATGAGACAGAAGTGGAATCAAGAAATTTTTCTTTATGGAATTAAACTTGCTGAGATAAGTGAAGCGACAGTTGCAAACTAATATAACTTCACTTTCTGGTCTAATCCTCTAACTGGATGAATCAAGCGAAAGTCTGCCTTGAAGTGCAAACGAGTTAAGGGGCAATTAGCATAGTTCATACATTAGAGAAACCGTGAAAAGAAATCATCTGGTTCCAAATCTTACTGCTTCTTTAATGAGCAGTCTTGAGGAAAATCGCAGACAAAAATTTTTTATAATGCGAAAGTCATGAAAACGAATACAGCATAGTTCTCAAGAATTTTCGTACATCAAAACGTTTTGATGTGGATATTATGTCCTCTTAGATGCGGACCGGACTGCGGGTCTTTCGCAACGTGAATGTTTTTGTTAGTGGAAATTCAGCTTCATTTGAAGAAAGCCGGCATTGTCGAGACTAGTGAATGGAAGATTTGAAATCTGTAAGTTAGAATTTTCTGTATACAACGACATATTTCAGTCACTTCAACCTTGCCTGTTCGCTATGGGACCACAAGGAAGTAGAATGTTCGTAATACATGGTAAGGTGCCTTTAACATAAATCTGCTTGCAAAAATGTTTATTCCAACAAACATCTGCTTGGGAGATTTAAATGTAAGCTTGAATGGTTGCATGCGATCCGTTGAAATCAACCTGCAAAAAAGCCCGTATGTGGTTTCTGCGAAATCTATTGCAACGAATAGCCATCAATTTTTCGCAAAGCGATTTTCTTCTTGTTCACAAGTTCGGCTTTGCTTGCAGCTGTTGATTGGTTTGATCAGGGTTCGGCACAGGTGGCTTATAAGTAAGCTGCATATCGTTTTCTGGACAAAAAGCAGAGGGGATGTCGTTTTTGTGGATCGGAACACAAGTTATGTTGGGTTTTCAGCCGATGTTTCGATTTCAACCAATTCGGATAATCCGGGTAAAGGTCAAAGGGTACTTCTCAAAATTTTGCGGAAGTCAGGGGTGACTTTAGGGATAAAGGATAAAGGATTCGGTGTCTTCAATACCCTCTAGGGGCATGCACCGAACGCACACACTAACTTCATAGTCGAAGAGGCAATTGTATGCGTGCGAGCCTATTACAGTGACTTGCGGGGGCCAGCCGTTTCCAAGTCAGTGCTTTTATCCTCCCAGATTACTCTGGTACCAATTTACCAGCCCCAGAGGGTAGAGGGCTTGGTTGGCCCAGGGGCGGGGATCGAACCTGACTTTGTTTTTGCATTTTCGGAAAACTTTGATTCCTTTAAGCTTGCATTTTAAGAATTTTGTTATTTTGTTGTTGTAAAATTTATGTTTGTATGTCTGTGAATGCTAGTGTAAAGCTTTTGCGACTTCATCCTATACCGCACGTTTTTCCTCGTTTTGCACTTTTTCCGTGAAATACGCGATCATCGCAGATTTTGTAACCTTTACGTCATTAGACCGGTTGTTGATATGTTCCACGCTTCTTATTTCCCAGACATACTTAAACTCTTCAAGCCTCCTCTAAAGAAACTTCTAAAATGTGAAGCGATTTTACACTTTCGGTGAGGTCGCTCGCAAGTAAGGATGAAAAAGAGATTTCTCCTGTTTGCTCTTTACTTTATCTAGCACTGATCGCTATTCTGGCACGGTCTAAGGGCAAAAATGGGCGGACCCGGGATGAACACTTCGGCTTAATCCGGCTTTTCGACGTATATAAGGCAGAAACGTTGCGGCTTTGATGCGTCAACGCGCACCACACAGGGACGGACACGGTTCGGAACACAGAAGCCATCGTGCGCTTCGTCAACTTCCTTTGATTTATTTCAACTACTGTGTACTTCCCTGATCAGGTGACTAGTGTGAACGCTGCTCAACTGAAGATCTCTTGGATGGTAAGTTCTGATTTCCTGCATTTGTTTACGTCTTTTTAGTTTGCTTTTGTTTTATTATACCTTGTGATATTCTTCCTTTGTAATCGGTTGTCCTGAAATTTTCTAACATGTTTGGGAACTTTTTGAAAATCGTTGTCTTCCTTTCTATTTGAACGATTCTGACATCTACCTGCAATGAAAAATGTTTAGACTCGTATACTCTTTCTCCTGACGCTATTGGCGTCACCATCCCTTGCCTGTTTCGGCATGGGAGGTGGTGGCGGACTAGGAGGACTCCTACCCGGACTTGGAGGTGGTGCACCTGGTGGAGGTGCGATGTGTTGTGCACCCGCAGCCAGTGCAGGCGCATCGTGCTCTCCTTGTGGAGGAGGAGGAGGGTGAGCATTTTCGGACTGTAGCTTCCTTATTATTTTGACAAAAATTTCAGTGGTGGCGGAGGAGGCTACGTTGCTCCTCCAGCAACCGGAGGTGGTTACGCTGTCGCTGGAGGCGGTGGGCTACCTCCTCCTGCGTCTGGATATGCGCAAGCCCCGTCGTTTGGAGGAACGTATGCAGCGCCTCCTCCGGTTCCTGTTCCCGCTCCAGCTCCTATACCGGCTCCAGCTCCTGTTCCTGCTCCAGCACCAGTCTATGCTCCCCCAGCTCCCGCTCCCGCCCCCGTTCCCGCTCCAGCTCCAGAAATTTCTGCGCCAGTCAGTGGCGGCTATGGCGTAGGTGGTGGAGGAATAGCTGAAGCACCTGCACCTGCAGCACCTTCTGGTGGCCTACCTACGGTGATTGTGGTACCTGCTACCATACAAGGTGGCGCGGCACTAGGAGGAGGATACGGCGGCGGGGCAGGCGGTGGTGGAGGCTACGGTGGTGCTGTCGGTGGAGGTGGCGGTGGATACAGTGGCGGCGGCGGTGGCGGCGGATACAGTGGCGGCGGTGGCGGCGGTGGATACAGTGGCGGCGGCGGAACCTACGCTGCGCCAGCCGTTGCAACTGGTGGCTATGGTGGTGGTGGTGGAGGCGCTGCATGTGGCGGAGGAACTTTACCTGCTTGTGGACCCGCGGACATGGGAGGAGGAGGAGGCTCTTATGCTGGACCTGCACCAGGCGGAGGAGGATATGGCGGTGGAGGTGGCGGCGGCGGTGGTGGCTATGGAGTTGGAGGCGGTGGAGGCAGCTCGTATGGTGGTGGAGCTGCTGGCGGCGGTGGTTATGGCGGTGGCGGCGGAGGAGGAAGTTACGGAACTGGACCAGCAGTTGGTGGTGGTGGATACGGCGGTGGCGGCGGTGGTGGAGGAAGTTACGGAACTGGTGGTGGTGGTGGAGGATTCGCAGGTGGAGCATCACTTGCCGCTACCAATGGTGGAAATGGTGGAACCTCTTTCGCTGCCGATGCCCCTGCTGGAATAGTCGCAGCTGTAAGTTTCTGCTTTGAGTTCGTGTTTTGTTTCCTCATGCCATATTTTAGAAACCCGTCGGTCAAGCCTTAGCTGATTCAAAGGCTGCACCAGCACCCGTACAAGTTGAGGAGGTATAAGTTCACTTTTCTATGTTTGAATCCTTATGAAAATATCCTATTCAGACGAGCGTTGTCGAAGAGTCTCCGTTGGATGAAGAGTCAGTAACGGATTCTTCAGATTCACGGCGAATTCATTAACCTCGCGGCCATGTAATTACATCGATTATAGCCACTCATCGTATTGTTCAGACCTCATCTGTTTGTATATAACGACCGCTAGCCAAGTCACATTGCTAGACTGAATCCTTTCCAGTTACTCTGCGTACGAAAGGCAAACACCTAGTCGTCTACATAAATTACGCACTTATTGAGCTATTATACATTCACTTAAAACAAGTGTCGCTCACAAACTTTTTGTTGACTTATTATTTATATTTATGGGTGAAATAAATAATTGTTCTTTATAAGACAGAAAAAAAACGAGAGATTGTCCGCTCTAGCGTAAGCTTTCCACTGCCACTGGATCTGGTTTCATCTCTTGTTCCTGAAACAGTTCAACATGGTTCTTAATGATAAGATGTTGAAGATGGTGGAAAGAAATAAGATTGTGGGGGCTAGGTGGAACAGATTTAGGATTTATTGATATTGAAACTAATTCCGCATTGATAGCTGACACTTTCAATAGATCGTCAGTGAAAGGGATTTCATCGGCTGATTTGAAAGACTTCTCTGATTCGTATCAATTTAAATGAAGTAAATTCGGGAAAAAAATGGTATAGCTAGAATTGGTGGTGAGTGATGTTCTTGATTTGTGTATAAACCGCTTACCCCCTGTTTTAAAAGTGTCCTTGTTCAGTTTATTTGTTTACACCTACTAGAAACTTCTTTTTTTAGAGATTGGCTTCTTTTTTTATCGACGAAAATGTAAATTAAGAATTTCTTAAGTTCACAAATCTTTATTTATTTTTACATAAAAATTTTGGTTTTGTCTACCAACCAGCGGATGTTACGAAAAGCATCCAGCTACGCTCGCAGATTTAAAGATGCGATACCAACCTAGCCAGATAAGCCCCTTACTTCACAAAAAAACCGAAACCAAGCACGTTTCGTCGGTCATGCGGTCAGTCGAACGAATCCGGTCTTACGCTTGAACCATCAAAAAAGGACTTGATTCGAATTAGATTCTCGTCAAAACCCCAAAAGATGTGACTTTTTCTTCACTTAATAGAATGTGTTCGTTATGGATGGCGCCACTCGCAGTGTCCGGGCTATATGGCGACGTCTGGATAGATCACCTGGGGATGGGCGGCCTTACCTAAGCCGAGTGCGGCACCAAAGTCGCCTTTGAGGTAGGGTATCACCTCTGATATTTTGAGACGGCCCTCCCTCTAGGCCTAAGGCCTAAGGCATACCTCGCGCGATTCCGGTCGCTGCGCGATTCGGCGTAACAGCAACTCTTTGTAATTCGTCGTTAATGCGCTTCCTTTGGTCAGAACTTGACCCATTTGCAACAACTTACACAAGCTACCCGCCTATGCGTTCGAGAAGCGCGCACGATAAATCTGTAGAAATCTGGCAAATCGCCAAGTCGCTTGAAAGCGGCGATTTGGCCGAATCGCGTGAGGTATGCCTTATGCCTTAGGCCTTAGTGCCATATCGTCTTTACCGAAGACACGAAAACGTGCCGAGGCGAGAGCGGCAGCCAATGACATGTAAGCCGCTGTCATTGGTTACTCTGCGCCCAGCTCGTTTCTGCATCTCGTGAGAACGAGGGTGAACTAAATGGCAGCTGTGTGAGAGTTCAAAAGATTTTTTCAGCTCGATAAGTAATATTTGGCACTTGCATTCGTTCTATGGCTTGCTCAGGGTCGATAGCAGTATGAACGGTGGAAGAAAAGTTCTTGAACAAGAATGTCATTGTTTGTCCATCTGTTTTACGTTCTTGTCTGTATTTGTATGCATTTGCTTGCTAAATTCACAGTTCACACTGACAATTCTCCAAACTTGGATTGATAGCTTTGTTCCTGACAGAAATGTGCCTTTTCAATCGAAGCAAGAGCCAGTCGTGATGAACATGGATGAAGAAAAGCAACAACAAGTTGCGCGTGATTTCGGAGTTCCACATAACAGATGTGATTCACCCGGGACCGTTTTAGGAATGGTAAAATGAATACTGCGAATACGCTCGTAGGGCGGATAATCCAAGAACGCATCCCTCGAATAAATCAGAGATCAACTAAGTTGGCATCATAACTGTCCATCACCCGTTGAATCGTCGCGAACATAGTGGAATAGATCCCGAGATGAAGATTTACAAGATGCCAAACTCACTTCTTCGGTACGATTGGAAGCTGAACCAAATTCATAGGTCTTCGACTGCTTGAACGTTTCTCCAAAACACACCACCGGACAATTCTCTTTTCCGACAAATAACTGTTTGTCGTGGAGCAAGTTTTTAACCGCCGAAACTGTAGAATCATCTCCAAATCGATCAAGATGCCAACAATGAATATCGACTTCAAAAAGAAAGCCATCCGGCTTTCATGATGATCTGGGCAACGATCACATCAGACGGCACGACGCTTCTGCATTTTGTGCCATTGGACATCAAGTGGACTCTGTCACATAATGGATAACTTCTTAAAAGAGAGTTGTTAGCTTGGACTGACACAATATCGCCGGTAGAATTTGTCTTCCAGCGGTATAGCGCACCTGCGCACAATCGAAGCTGGTTTAAGCTTGGCTCTAAAGCAATGTTAAAGACATCGTCCACCCAGATTCTCGACTTCCATGTTTTGATCGTTCCGGGGCCTTCTCATGTCCCTGTTTCCGAGAAGAGAATCCGCGAAAAGCCAACAATGCCCGTTCCGGAGAACACACATGCCGGCTTTCAGGAACGGTGATTGGCTGGGTGCGCACGGATGGGCGGGCATGGATGCGGAGGGCGGTGCCCTCTGGGGGTCCTCGCGCATCTTCGTTATTCCGAAGCGATTTTCTCGCTTCCGAAGCGACATTTTACGCCTCGATGGACATTGTCTTGATGGGGGCCCTACTGTCATATGCTGCCAGAAACTCAAGACCCTCAAATTAGGGTGTATGGTGCCTTTAAGGTAATTTATTACTACTCTATGGCTTCTGTATTCGCCGCAACTGAATTTTCTTGGCCTACAGCTTTCTTCAGTTCTTGAGGCCAAGTCTTACACTGTTTTTTTTTATAAGACTGTTGAGTTTCTGAAGCGTGATCTTCACAATGCATGCGGAAGATTGACATGGAGTACCTTAGCGCCGTTGTGGACAGCTACAACTGAGAAGACACTTTGTTCCAAGACATTCCCCTTATCTTGTAGCTGCTTAGGAAACGATACCCTGCGGATTTTTGATAGTGCATTCAAGGGCACTGTTTCTGGAGTTGCATTTGAGGAAACTAGTAAACCGAGAGGGATACGAAATGTGCCGACATTGTAATTGAATAGCTTGTAGTGAGACGGAGGGATAAAAATGGAGGCTTACACTTACCATGTCTGTAATCTGTTGTGCTTGTTGAAGATCTTGTAGATCTGGATGTGTTTTTACCTCAAATAGATAACAAAATCAATACCAAAAGATTAAACAGTACTTACAGTGACAGCAGCTTCAGCATGTGGTTTATAATCGGAAGGTGGCGCATATCCGCCAGGTGGTCCTACTGATGGTGCTGCACCTTTGAAACCAACTGGAGCTTGGTAAGGTGATGGTTGGTAGGCTGGTGCACCATAGCTGGTAGGATAAGCAGGCATGGGCGGTGCTGGCATAGGCGGTAATATGGGTGGTGGCATGTAACTGAAGAAAAAGCGAGAAACTTGAGAATGCGTAGATAAGATTTGTTTATGATACTGTAAGACTACGGTGAAAGGCTGAATAAAACAGTAATGGTTTTTTAGAACCGCATATTGAAAAACCACCCACACCCTCCCACTATCGTAAGCTAGGAGACAGATAGGGCTACTGTAAGAACATAAGTATGCAGTGGTCAGCATTTGTTGGGAAGTTGTGAATGTGCTCAGTTGCTAGTGGTTGTTAACTTACAGTAGGCGTTTAGTACTTTGCACTAATAAGAAGCACTACAACCTTCAAGCATTTTTTTTTTGTTCATCAAAATTTCACTAGCAACAAGCAAAATTTATTTCTATCTTCGCATTAAAAAATGGGCCCATAATAACAGTCTGTTGCTGCCACTTAGAATTGTTGTTCAGCATGGCGAGCCACGAATGTTCTTGTGTGGATTGCGTAGAGGTCACCATCTCCACCTAGAACTCCAAGGTGTTGCAAACAGTAGATATGTGAGGACATGAAGTTATATAGCAGCGTGTTTGACACTATTGCTTAAAAAGCTAAGAATTATGCGCAGAAACGGTTCACCGCTTTACAAACATAAGAATGTTGCGAGGTATTTTATGCTGGCCGTCTCTTTGTCTCATCTGGACTGATGTTATTTTCAAACCATTTGTAGTACGTACTATGTGGGGGCCGCTCCTCAACATTGCTGTTCTCCTTCCTTTACCACAATCACTTAAAGGCAGCGTCCAGGCAGATCTGGACCTATGGGGCTTTTACGTGGAAAGTACTTTTGGGGTCCTAACTAAGCCACTGCCCAACTTGCAGCTCAGGTAGTGCTCTAATGGCTGAGATATTCCCCTCGAAACTGGCCCCCACGAACGTATTCGCATGGATTCATGGCAGTTTCGCGCCAGGATCCACGCTTTGCGCCATGAATCCATGCGAAACACGGTCGCGGGGTCCAGTTTCGAGCGGAATATCCCAGCCGTTAGGGCATTACCTGAGCTGCCGGTTGGGCAGTGGCTTAGTTAGGGCCCCAAAAGGACTTTCCACGTAAAATCCCCATAGGTCCAGACTTGCCTGGACGCTGCCTTTAATCAAATTTTGATTGCAGATCTCTCTATGATTTTTCGAAAGCACTGATCATCAGAATCAAGCAGAAAGCTGATTTCGTGCTTGGTTCCGATAATCGGGAAGAGGGTGGGGGGGGGGGGGGGAAGTATAGTCAAGCTACGAGTAACTCTAATTGTAAAATTCCACCGTCAGAAGTGGCGACATTTGCCTTATCTTCTTTGAAATATGGAACTTATGTTGTACGCGCTTCCAAGATTATGAATTCATTTAGAAACTTCTAGGAACCTTGCTGTATTGTAAAGCCCCAGAAAAATATAATCATGGATGCAGAATTTACGGAATGACCTTAAAAACTTAGGTGTCAGGAAACAAAATTTTTTCGGTGCCTTTGGATTACGCCTTGCCTTTAATGCTTCAAAAAACTTATATTCAGCATGCATGGACGTATACTAAATATGGTCGTTAGAGTTTTCGTTTTCATCGCCGTTTTCTCACGAAGTGATTGGTCTACGGGAATGTATCTGTATATTCAAAGTAGCCAATTTTACCAAAAGACTTGTTATTTTCGAAGCAAATCTGACAACTTAAAGCCCTTTGTTTCATAACTTGTTAGAGGGAAAAGTTTTCTGAAAGGCAAAGTTGGCAATCTTGGTACTTGCTTCTTCTGCTCTTTGAAATCACCCGAGAATTTCCGTCAGTGATGAAAAACAACATTTCGGGACTACGCTGCTGACAGCAGCCCCTGTCGGGAGAAAATCGAAGAAAAGCGTAAAGCGCACTTCTACCGTATGTGTAGAAGTTTTGCATTTAGCAAGATTTACGCCCTGAGCATACCTCGAGGTATGCTCAGCGCGATCAAGCAATTCCAGTCGCCAGCGATTTGGCAATACTCCAACTGTTCATAAATCATCGTAAGGGTTAGAATGTACGGAAGATAGAGCATTTTATCAATCTTCGAAATTATACATGCTGCGCATTCGGGGTCTGTCAGTATTGAATTCGAAGACATCTGGCAAATTGCCAGATCGCGTGGCGACTGAAATCGCGCGAAATCAATGGTATCACAGAGGCGAGGCCCGGCAGAAATCTTTCCACCACGTTCGTTTAAGAAGTCCTTTGTGACCTTATGGACTTAGGACCTCTCGTTGGCGTTTTCACATGTAAAGTGACTGAAGAAATTTGAAAATTAAAACGCGATAATCGTCGAAGCGGCTTTTATGAGAAACAGGTAAGGGTCAGGAGTCATCATTTTTAGCGAAGCAATCTCGCCACGCGATGTCAACTAGCCAGCAAAAGCCAACTTCCGTCAGTATTCCTTTTACAGTATTACTTATGGCAGCGAGTCGGGTAGGGAAACGAAATCCGCCAGTTTGGATCGCCTCCGCGGACTACTGGTCCTGCACCGACATGCAGAAAGGACCAGTTGCCCAGCGGCTAAACTGGCGGAGTTCGTTCCCCTATCCCAGCGAGTCGTACATCTGCCACCACCCCCACCCCTATCCTACCGGCCACTCAAACGCTCAAAGGCAGCTTCCAAGCAAATTTGGACCTATGGGGATTTTACGTGGAAAGTAATTTTGGGCCCTGACTAAGGCATGCCCAACCGGTAGCAGGTGACTCACTAACGGCTGAGATATACGCCTTCAAACTGGAATCCAGGATCGTATTTTGCATGGATTCATGGCGCAATCTATCACTTTTGCATGAGGACCCACGCGAAACCGATGGGTTGCACCAAATCCCTGCGAAATACGACCCTGGAGTCCGGTTTCGAGGGAATATTTCCGCCGTTAGAGCACTACCTGAGGTGCCGGTTGGGCAGTGGCTGTTAGGGCACCAAATCCACTACCCACGTGAGATCCCCATATGTCCAGATTTGCCTGGGCTGCCCTTGAAATCTTTGTGGCTCGCAAAATTCGGGATTAGTGTAGCAAAACGGCGGCCTGTGCGCGATATGAATCCTGACCAGTAGACGGGAAAGAGCAAGGTGGAGCATGTCCATCGTGTAGTAACTTTTCTAAAACGTTCGTCTGAGTATTGGCTTGTATGCCTGCATAGCATGTTTCACAATAACCCCTTTTCTTTTGTCTCAAACGATGTCCAGCCTCACTCTAGGACCTCTGTACCGGGCTTTTTAAAGGCTCTTATTCAGAAATCTTTAAAGAAGTAGATGTTGGTCAGAGCTTGTATCTGAAATACTGCACCATCTTTCAAACAAAAATCGATCACAGAAGGCCCGATAGCAGGGTCGGATTCTGTTGCGAAACAACGCGCAATTTCAAGCGGCGAGTCGAAAAAAGAAAGCAACCAATGACTCCTTGTTTAGGCAAATTTTCGCAGCCAGGCTGAATCTACACTCCCCTAATAGTACCTAGTCTACAAGAAGGCCCTAAAAGTAGACATCTGCGTTGGTCCGGCCATGGGCTATAAATGGAAAAAATTGACCGTAACCCGCAAAAATACTGTCAAGCCACGCCCGCCGTTCAAGCTCCGTTACCCAGGTACTGAAGTCACATGCGCCTTTAAGGTAGGGGCTTCCAAAAATCGGGTTTTTGGAGGTTTAAACACTTTGTCATATTCGTATCTATTCATATCTGCCACGAGAGCCCCAGAGTGACAAAAACATGGAATCTGGGTGGATGCTTTTGACATACTGGCGTACTGCTTTTTTGTCAGTATGCAAATCTTGATTGCAACTGATAATTCGCCAATGTATGAAATAATCTCGTGAGATACGGAGCGACTATGGGAAGCAGGTGCCGAAATCGCCAAATCTTGCATTAAAAAAAACTTTTGCGTAGAAGTAGATTAGAAGTCGTAGAACGAGGTCAATGAGTTTTTTTTTTGAAAATGAGAAACATAACTTGTGAAGTAAGATTGGCTCTTTCGAATGGTGCAGATGCTTTGCCGTGAATAAAGCGCTTTATGAGAAAACTACTGCAAAAACTCTTCAAATTCACGAATAATTGCAGGAGTACCGGCTATAGTTTGCAAATGTAATATGCTTTTTGGAGTGAACTACATGATCAAGTGTACGATTCTTCATGAAACGAAATCACAACCACCAATTTTCTAAAGAAGAAAATTCTTTGAACTCACCCTCCCCCACCGGACGGACATGGTGGCACACCTCCTCCACAGGACATCGGTGGAGGGCAACAAACGACTTTGATAGGAGGTGCAGCAGCAGGAGCGGGACACATTGGTATAGCCGGTGTACAGACCATCTGTGGTTTACAGCACATCGCACCACCACCACCGAATGGTAAACATGACAAGGCTGTCCGAACTAGGATAGTCAGGAGGATGAGGCTAGGCACCTGAATAGGCTTTTAGTCAGCTGTGTTGAGGTTCGTAGGGCTTGCTTAGTAGGCCGTACTCACCATAGCGTAGCGCAGAAGTGCCAACAATCTACTAACGAGCCTCGTATATATGCGTGATGATGGCGGATCTTGGGTGTCCGGCCAGTCGTCAGCTGTGCATCCAACGTCATCTTGATATCTGCGGAAAAACGCACGCGTCTACTGGTTCCTGAACATCATCGACTTTGTTAATAGTAATGTTATACCTGCTTTAGATCATGTTGTGACTACTATACGACCATCTAGACGGCGTTTTTTCTAGCTAGCGCTTATTGTTCGCAACGGTACGGCTGACTGACTTCATCAGGCGTATATTTGGCTTGATTTTGTTGTCAGGGTATATCATAGATAGATATCTATAACTACAGTTAGGTGTTGGTCTAGACTTGTTGATAGGTCTTGAGTTCTTAAGCAAGGGCTTAGCATTATCCGAATTTTTTAGCTATCTTCATTTTTGTAGATTTTGTCATCTGATTCAGACCTCTTTTCAATTCATTCAGCCATCGAACAATTCAAACTACGGCAATTCGTGCTGTCTTCTATGTAAATTCAAGATACTAGTGCAGTACATGAATTCTCACGCAATTTTAATAAGGCTGAATGTTTGTCTGTAGTCTTTACGTATGTACGAAATGGAAATTCCCATTTCTGAACCGATCCGAGCCTAATTTTGCACACATAAACTTTTAGGTGGGAGAGTGTCGTAAGCTACTTTTGATTATCGATAATTATATTCGATTTTTTGCAAACTAACTTTGAGCTGCGGGGCTTAGAGTTGGCGCAAGGGCTATGTGAGCACGATTATTGAAGTAACCGAAAAAACCGTTTTCAAATATCCATCACTTTTATCGATTTTATCATTTTTTTTGCAAAGTTTGAGTTACGCGAGTGGAATTGGCAGAGGGAGGGGGGGGGGATTGCTAATACGTTATCTTATTATCAATTAACCCTGTCGATTTCACGTTTTTTTTTTACAAAGTTTGTGCTGCGGGGTCGGGAAGTTGGCCCGGGGGGGGGGAGTAAGGAGCATTCTCATCACGAAAACCACGAAAGTGGAGACAGGGTACTGGCGTATAGAGATGGGACCGGGCAGGAGATTGTTGTCCAGAAATAGAGCATTGTGATTCGTATATAGTTTACTGACAGGATTGGTCAGAGCCGGATACGCCAGCTAGTAAGAATGAAGATGGTAAAGCTGTTTCAGAAAGTTTAGGACCGCTACAGCTATTACTTGAGCGCACATGCCACCATCTAAGGCCCCGGACAGACTTCACGCGACTTAATCGTCGCGATCTAATCGCCAAGATTTCCATTCATTTTCATTTTACATTCAAAAATTTCGGGCTGGAAAAGTATCACAACCGAATGCAAGTTGATCTGTAAGGAATGATGTTGTAACAGTTGTATCGTCGCGATTGAATCGCGACGATCAAATCGCGTGAAGTCTGTCCGGGGCCTGAAAGCATGGGTACTAGAAAATAATTATGGCTATTGACGCATATACAACACAGGACACATGTAAGAATGACAGAAGAGACACATTTTGGCAAGATTTCGATTTCCACCCCATAGTATAACATGGGACTCTACTAGTAGGAGGGGAGGACTGGAGAATGGAGGGAAGGCGAGTTGGAGCAGAAAGTTTACACAGAGCCTGCACTGAAACTCAGACAGTCGAAGGGAACCTCCGGAGGGCAAACGGCGGGGGTCTGCCACTTCGTGCTCCGGGGCCCTCCCATTTCACGTGTTTTGGTGCCCGGGGCTCCTCCAAATCTGGCGCACCCCCGGAGCAGATTAGCCCCGGGGAAGGGTCCCACGGAGGTATCCCTTCGACTTTCTGAGAAAATGAACACATCCTGGAGTTTGTCCCCGCTCATGATCTGGTTTTGGCATATTTACTACATCACTAAGATTGATTAATATGTTACACGGGTTTTATCGACGAGAGCATGTAAATAGAATTCTGGTATGGTAGGACTTCTGACTGTCCTGGTGAAAGTTATACACGTCGATATGGAAAAAATGATCCTCGACTTTACAGAAAGCTACAAAGCTCAGGACATGCACCAAAGTTGAAAACTGAACCAAAGTACGCTTGAGAAAGAGTTGTTACAAGGCTTGGCACAGAATCCTTGGATGTAGCCTCGTTACATGCGAAGGCAATATCGTAAAACATGCTGTACTCCTCCAGCGGATCTCTCATTGTCAAACACACTAACCTGCTTTACGCGTTATTAACGAATTAACATGTTCCAACGTGTTCTCTCACAAAAACCGCGAATTGCAGTGCAAGGCTAAAATAAACGAATAGCTTCTTTAGAGCGCAAAGGCAATCATACGAACCGAATTCTATGAATCTGTAGTATCGCTTCAAGCAATATTGTAATTGCTTACATAATCTTTGATTTTCACTCTGCTTTTGTTGCGCAGATCTATCTTTTTGCGAAGGAACCTTTCATATTATTTCCTTTCCTACTTGTTTGGCGCTGAAAACAGTTTTGATAGATCTTGCGTCCCAGTGGGCGTACTCGCTCGTTTGCGTTTCCATCGATATTATATGTTGACTTTCAAAAATTAAGCTTACATGAATGTCATACTCGCAATAGCAATGATAAACCTCAATGGCCGAGCGAACTGCCAAGGTTGATAATACTTCTTTATTCGCTAAGTTTCGACACTTTCGCCTTCTTCAGAGCCTGCAAGCCGAAAGTTTATGAACTTATTCACCCAGATGTCAAGAATAAATAAAGTCTCATTCGAAAATAAAGCTAATGTCAGACAAAATTATATTCACAAGCACAGTACTCACCTTAGAAAGCACAAGACGGGGGTCCGAGGACCACTTATACACAAGACTCAACCTCAGCTCTTTTATACATGCCTTGATACCCGGCCTCATATTCAAATCCGCATAGGGACTGATAAGGCGCGAGTTCCCTCCTTATGACGGCACACTCCTCCTTCCTCATTTTTGGATTTTTGGCGCTAATCCAAAAGATCTAAGGTTTTGCGCGTGAGGATCTCGAGTTCGAGCGACAAGATCTTTACACTAGCTTGCAAGAGAGCCTTACCATAGGGCGTTATACAATGTTCCCCTAATTGCGTAGCTGCTTTTAGCTTACTTAAACCGTCCATATGTTCCTTAACGCGACAGCAAAGCAGACGTCCTGTTTCGCCAATGTATGTGTCGCCGCATGATAAGCATGTAATAAGGTAGATAACCCCGGCTAGCATACAGTCACCACATCTACCATACGGGCTAACCACGCAGTTAGGAGTAGTACATATGCGGTCATAAGCTCGATTACGAACCAATTGGCGTTTTAAATAGCGGGAGGATTACCGACCACTCTCACCATGCCGTGCAAACCCGCCTGATGTACGCTTCGCTGCACTGTCCTGCTCCATCAGAAATGAATGGCAGGCAGAATGGTATCTCGTTGTCAGTGCTTGCATTATGAGCTCTGCTCCGAGAAGACGCGCATGCTCCATGGGCGTGCTCAAGTGTGGCATAGCCACCGGAGAACGCAATTCCTTGTGCCAAGGCAATGGAGCATGATCGTTCGTCGCTGCCGGAACATAACCAGGGCCCGGCACGAGGTGGGCAGACGGGGTTTTCCAAAACGAATTCACCTTTGACCCCAATAGTTTTTACGAATAGCCCCTTTAGCCCAAAAATGACGCTTTGTGCTTGTGGAACGAGAGCACCGGCCACACTTCGCCTAAAAGGGCTCAAAAGCGCCCAAAATGCTCAAATTCCTCTAATTACTCCTCACCTGTATCAGATAGAAAACAGGAAGAAGAACAAGCAAGGAAAATGATGAAGGAATGAAAAAATATCAAAGGAACGCAGTCATAGAACTAACAAGGGAAGTTCGACGAATCGAAATGGCCGATTGATACGTGGTATACACCCGGACGCGGGGCTCGGGAGATTAGTATGTGCGCCTTTAGCTGCGACGCGTTATTGTGAAGCAAGTTATGGCCCTCTGAAGTTTTTGGCGTGTGCATGTCTAGGGAACGCACAAATGCTCAGATTGTGGTCGTGTGGGGTAGTGGTTAGCGTATCGGACTCACAGGTGACCGGTGAGGGTTCGAATCCTGTTGCTGTCCACATGTTTTGCGTTCTTCTCAAAAATCATTTTTTACCCGTTTTATGCATTACCGACGTAAAAATTGACACATACTGGTGGTTAAACTCTACTAATTATACATCCTGCCGTGTCATTCTCACAAGGTAGCCCATTAGCAAGAACCAATAGTACGACGTGATACAACTTGGAGACTGTCACGTCAATACTACGTGCAATCGAAGAAAGTATGTGGGAGTGAGGATTTGGCAAATCTTCAAAGTCAATTGAAAAGCCGTCGCTAAAAAGTCGTTGCTATGTTCTACGAAAATCTTACATATGAAACATGGGTTGAATTTTCGCGAGAAAAATCATCCCGTAACCCGTGTGTGTCATTTTTTACCATAATAATACATAACACAGGTAAAAAATGATTTTTGAGAAGAACGCAAAACATATGGACAGCAACAAGATTCGAACCCTCACCAGTCACCTGTGAGTCCGAGACGCTAACCACTACACCACACAACCACAATCGGACCATTTGTGCGTACTCTAGACACGTACACGCCAAAAACTACAGGGGGCCATAACTTGCTTCACAATAACGCGTCGCAGCTAATGGGTGCACATTTGAGACTAACCTTCCGAACCCCGCGTCCGGGTATATACCACGTATCAATCGGCCATTTCGATGTGGCGAACTTCCCTTGTAAGAGACGCCGTTCCCGCGCGTATCGATTGACTGGGGCGCGCTTTCCATCTTAGAAGGCTAGGCTGCTGATGCAATTTTGGGCTTTAACAAAGACAAGAGGAAGAGTAAAATCTCACCATATAGTAAACTTTAGGTGAACAACAGATTTATATAAAAATTTTGAAAAAATTATGTGAATTGAAAGTTTTGCCCACCTCATTAATTAGGTGGGCATTAGGTGGGCAATTACCCACCTAATTTGGAAAAAAGTTAAGCACGCTCTTCATTCACATAAGCTTTTCATATTTTTTCATACATTGTTCCTTAATCCTACTGCGCGTATACACACCAAGTCTCGCGCGATTTCGTTTCCTTTGCGCTGCAAACGAGCCATTTTTCCATTTTTTGATAGTGGGAAATTTTCAGAAAAAAGCTTGCCACAACCTTCATTCACATAATTTTCCAATAAAACTTCTAAGATAAGCCCTGCAGGCCCTTGTTCATGTACCTACCAAGTTTCATACCGCATGGTCATCTGGCGCAGCAAACGAGCCATTTGAATTCACATCTTCACTTACCAGTTTTGCGAAATTTTTGGAAAAAATGCTTATTACACCTCCCATTCACCTAAGTTTTCCATAATTTCATGCTTTGTTTCTACTAGCCTCTCTTTGTTCGCTTACGTAATTTGGTGCTATATCATTATGCCTGCATTGAGAACTGATCATGTACTCATGCTGTTCAACGGCACCGCTCATGCGACGCACGCGGCAATTAGCGGCAACGCGGCGCAGTGCGCGTGAAGTCTGCTGTGCGTTGAGGTTTATGAAAACTATTTTCCGATGAATTAGATGTATAAGGTAAGCATGATTCGACCTTCTTTTGCTTGCACTTGGAATGTTCTTCCGGGGCTCCGCTCCGGATCCCGAAAAACGATATCCCCTTTGCTTTTTGGCCCCAAAACGATCTCCAGCTTGTCATTTGCCCACCTCGTGCCGGGCCCTGAACATAACCGCAGAGCTGTTTTGTACACATTGCCCACTATAGACCGCTTTATGCTATTTGGATGTGCAAAGAATGTACCAAGATGTTTTTACTGCTGGGTTTGCGATACCGCTTAGTTTTGTAACTCCTGCGTGCAGGATGGATCTGCACATTTAGAAACGCCAGCCACCCCCACTAGGCTTTTCCCCAGTGAAAACGATGTTTGTGACTGCTGATTTAATAGCTGGAAGCACATATTTACTTCGGCTTGAGTTGGGCAAATGACACACCAGTCATCTATATAGCAACCATAAAGCAGGGGTTTTCGCTGCAGCACTGATGCCTCTATCTTGGACATGAAAATGATGGCAAAGTAGGTGCGAGACGTTGCCCCACTGCCAAGCTCTAATCTGTTCGTAATATTGGCCCGACATCTGCGACAACTATCAGAAGCTTAATAGTACGTCTTAAAAACGAAATGTCTATCTGTCCTGTGCTCTACACCTTGATGAAGACGCACAAATCCCCGGCAGTAGGGCTGTCTTTCAACAAAGCGCGATTAAAGTTCGACCCATAATCAGCGGCATTGAGGGGCCAACCGGTAAAATAGCATGGTTCCTTAAAATAATTTTGTCACAGCTGCTCCAAATCGTCCCTGCGCACCTCAAAGTACCAACATGGTCCTCGACCGCCTCCGGGCAACACAGCTTAGTCGCGACTGCGTCATTGAATCATTTGACATAACATCACTGTTTACCAATGCATCCAATAATGCTGCGCTTCAAGCTAGCCTTGAGCTGCTGTCTGAACACCAAGCCTCCCATAATTCACATGGTTTTAGCATCCACGATATAATGACCCTACTATTCCGATGGTCGGCTAATATAACAAACAGATTAGAGCTTGGTAATGGGGCAACGTCTCGCACCTACTTTGGCATCATTTTCATGTCTAAGATAGAGGCATCGGTGCTGCAGCGAAAACTCCTGCTTTACGGCTGCTATATAGATGTCTGGTGTGTCATTTGCCCAACTCAAGCCGAAGTAGATATGTGCTTCCAGTTATTAAATCAGTGGTCACCAAACATCGTTTTCACTAGGGAGAAGCCTAGTGGGGGTGGTTGGCGTTTCTAAATGTGCAGATCCATCTTGCAGGCAGGAGTTACAAAACTAAGCGGTATCGCAAACCCAGCAGTAAAAACATCTTGGTACATTCTTTGTCTGCACATCCAAATAGCATAAAGCGGTCTATTGTGGGCAATATGTACAAAACAGCTCTGCGGTTATATTCCGGCGGCGACGGACGATCATGCTCTATTGCCTTGGCACAGAGGGTTGCGTTCTCCGATGGCTATGCACACTTGAGCGCGCCCATGGAGCACGCGGGTCTTCTCGGAGCAGAGCTCATGATACAAGCACTGACAACGAGATCCCCTTCTGCCTGCCATTCATTTCTGATGAATTGAGCAGGGCAGTGCAGCGGGGCGTACATCAGGCGGGTTTGCACGGCATGGTGAGAGTGGTCGATATTCCTCCCGCTAATCTAAAACGCCAATTGGTTCGTAATCGAGCTTATGACCGCATACGTACTACTCCTAACTGCGTGGTTTGCCCGTATGGTAGATGTGGTGACTGTATGCTAGCCGGGGTTATCTACCTTATTACATGCTTATCATGCGGTGACGCATACATTGGCGAAACAGGACGTCTGTTTTGCTGTCGCGTTAAGGAACATATGGACGGTTTAAGTAAGCTAAAAGCAGCTACGCAATTAGGGGAACATTGTATAACGCCCTATGGTAAGGCTCTCTTGCAAGCTAGTGTAAAGATCTTGTCGCTCGAACTCGAGATCCTCACGCGCAAAACCTTAGATCTTTTGGATTAGCGCCAAAAATCAAAATGAGGAAGGAGGAGTGTACCGTCATAAGGAGGGAACTCGCGCCTTATCAGTCCCTATGCGGATTTGAATATGAGGCCGGGTATCAAGGCATGTAAAAAAGAGTTGAAGTTAAGTCTTGTGTATAGGTAGTCCTCGGACTCCCGTCTTGTGCTATCTGAGGTGAGTACTGTGCTTGTGAATATGATTTTGTTTAACATTAGCTTTATTTATCTATTGTTGACGTCTGGGCGAGTAAGTTCATATACTTTCGGCTTGCAGGCTCTGAAGAAGCGAAAGCGTCGGAACGTTAGCGAACAAGGAAGTATTACCAACCTTGGAAGTTTGCTCAGCCAACCACTACGAGTTTCTAACGTGCCAAGGTTAAGAGACAGCCGAACCTGGACAATTCCTAACATATGGCTTTTTATTGAGATCGTAATTTTCGCCGCTTAGCGGAGATCATTGCTGACGGCACCGTATGATTTAGCTATCAAGAGGTTCATCTAGAGTTGCCCGGTCTGTGCCGGGACAGCGCCGAGAGGGTGCCGTGCTTTTTGACCTACCGCTTTCTGACAGAAACCCTTTCTTTTTTTCAGAGAGAACTCTCTTGCCATTGTTGTTTTTTGGGAAGAAGTGATATCCGATGCTCTTGGTGACGATTTGGGGGTGCTCCTGGATCTCCTATTTAGCTTGCGCAATGCTGAAAGGCTCAGTCCTCCGATAATTTCAACAAATTCGACGCAGATAGCAAAATCGACAAATTATCGGGAAAAATGAAGGAAGTGGGTCTAAAAGCTTGCCGCAAACGCGTGCTGGGATACGTCTTTTTAAGGCCCAGGCATACCTCACACAATTTCAGTCGCCGCGCAATTTGGCAATATTCCACTTGTTTACTACTAAGCATAAGCGTAGTTCCAACATAAAGAGGACAGGACATTCCGCCCTTGAAACCTGTACACAATGTGCATCTGTAGTCTTCGAATGTTGATTTAAAGTGGCATGTCATCAAATCACGATCACGTGTTTCCATATGGTAGCGTTGTGTCAGCAATGACACAAGTCGGGTAGCTTTCTACAGCCTGATTCTTCTAAAAACACCATTATTTTGAGACTATGGAACCCACAGGGCTAATAAATTTGTCAGTGGGGTAAAGATTCTGGCAGATAGGAGTTGAAAGTTGAACTATAGCCGTTTCTTTCACTACTGTTATCTAATTATTTACATCAACGCCTTGAGCACAGAATTTATCCTGAAAGGACCGCATACAACCGATGTCCGAGCTAGCGCTGAAATCGACATCTTCGCGCGAACTGAGCTAGCGTTTCAGCATTTTAGTGCTATCATGCCAGGTAGATTACTATCGGCAGGATCAGTAATTGCCGTTGTGCCCTTGTAATGCCTTCATTGAATAATGAACCAGAAGCTCCTAAATGGAGTGATAATTCATTCATTTGTAACTTGCCTCTAAGCGAGCGAATTTGGTAAATCACTCAAATTGCCAAAATTTTTCTCACTTATTTCTATCGCTCTAGTATTCTACTACTGGACATTGATGTTGCTGTGGTTGGAGGACGTATCCTTCTTTGTTTTATCTTTCATATTTCAAACTGAATTGTCTGGTCCTTGTCGGAAGCAATTATTTTGTGAAGTTTTTAGAGAAAATCGACATCGTTAGACACATATCTCATTATGGTAAATAAGAAGCTCTAACTTTAGTCATCATTCTGGCAGTCGTGGTCCTTTGGAATGCCATGAAATAGTTCGTCAGCGTTAGTATCTGTTCTGCTTGATTTTTCATTCGTTCGTAAAAACTCAAAATTCCGGAAATAGCGCTTCAGCGCAAGCTCGTGGAATGCATACCCAGCCGGCAACATGATGCAGCTGTGTCAATTCAGCGCGTATAAAACCAATTTCGGCGATCTGTAGTAATCTGTGAGCCAAAATGGCAAGACAACTCGTCCTTCTTCTTCTTTTCGTTGTCAGCGTCTCGGCCTTTGTGAGTGCTTCTTATGTACCCGTTTCTTGAACAGCCTTTCCTATTTATTTGAGAAATTTGCTTCCTAACCCATCCACCTTTTCCAGAATCTCAGCTCCTTTTTTAGTGGCCATTTGACTACTTCTTCGACAGCAACAACTCAACTGGGCCTCCTCCTCCTCCGCCACCACCAAAGGGAGAATCTCCTCTACCACCTATTATTGGTACAGGAGTAGGAGCCCCTCCACCACCACTAGCAGCAGGCGGATCTCCACCACAAGAAGGAGGTCCTCGTCCACCACAGGCTGGATCTCCTCCTCCACCACCGCCAGAGGGAGCTCCTCGTCCACCAGCTGGATCTCCTCCACCACCACCACCAGCGGGAGCTGCTCGCCCACCCCCTCCTCTCCAAGCATAATCCCCTCGGCAGACTAGATCGTAATTTTTGAGATGAAAAATAAAATTTTCAGTAAGCTCAAAGTGTTCGGTTTTCAAAGATATGCTTGATTGAAATGCGATGAAACAGAATATTAGATTCCCTGAGGTGCGGGTCCACTGACCGGCTTTACAAATTAATATTTTACTTTTTTCAAGTGTTCGAAGACAGCGGCTAGCCATGGTAAGAATGACAGTGACAGTTCAAATTCAGATTTATCACTAAACTAATAAAAGTACAAGAATTTCGCAAGTTTCTTATGTTGCCCTTTTCCGGATGTTGACAGTGTGAAAGTGTTTCCGAACAACATCCATACCCTTAGGACAAGAGACCGAAAAAAACGCTTCATAAAATTACAATGATTTCTTGCAGTGAAATGGCATTCACTGACATAGAATTTTGAGCCTTTGGTGGCAGTATACTTGGGTCCGAATCGAATAGAATTTCGATCATTCGAATAAAACATTCGAATATATTCGTATTCGAAATTTGATATTCGGAGTTCTTCCATTTTCGAATAATATTCGAAACTCGAATAATCAAAGAACTGGGTTTCGAATAAAATCCGAAAACTCGAATAATCAAAAAACGAGGTTTCGAATATTATTCGAAAACTCGAATAATCAAAAAACGAGGTTTCGAATATTATTCGAAAACTCGAATAATCAAAAAACGGGGTTTCGAATAGATTTTATTCGAATGTTTTATTCGAATGTTTATTCGAATTCGTATTCGAATGACTCCGTATTCAGATTATTCGACTTTGTTGCAAAGCCAACTGCTGAGTATCAAGCTCAATTCGTCCGCGTTTTTTGCAAAACTCGGTAATGCATCATTTGCAACCGTTATACCTTTGAACTGTATGGAGAGTCGCATTCTTCCGACTGCTTGCGACAGTAAAAAATCATATATGGATTTTAATTGATGTAGAAAGTAGAGCAAGCCCTTTGTTTTTACATTGTTGATGCTGATAGAAAAAAGTCAATTCTGGTGTACATCAGTCTCTTTCAGACCTTCTGAAGAAGAATCTTTTGGGCACAGCATAACAATTTATATCGACTGCTTTTTTAGATCGTCCAATATTGGGTAAAATATGACTTTTTGCTGATGTATAGACCAATTGCCGGCCGATTTTATCGATTTTTTGCACAATTTGAGCTATGGGGCTGGGAGTTGGTACAAGGGGGTAAGTTAGGGTGCTGATTAAAACCGAAATCTATTTTATCGATTTCAGCAGTTTTTGGAAAATTTTGAGCTAGGAGTTGGTATAAAAGATACTAGGGGGCTGATTATGATTGGATCGGCTCTAGCCGGATATGTCGGCAAGTTTGAGATGTGATTGCTTTAGTTATTCGATAAATCATTCGAATATTTATTCGAAATTCGACTTCCAATTTTCGAATATTTCGATATTCATTCATTCGATATTTTTGATTTTCCGAATTTATTCGAAATTCATTCATTCGATTTTTTTAATTTTCTGAATTTATTCGAAATTCATTCATTCGATATTTTTGATTTTCCGAATTTATTCGATATTCGTTTATTCGAAATTTTTCCTTTTCGAATTTATTCGATATTCATTCATTCGATGAAAAATCCTCGAATTACTCAAGTATAGGTGGTAGTAATCAAGCCAAAACAATGCATGTGTTTAGCAGGTTAGTATGCTAATGCGAGATTAGTAAACTTATGTTAGTATTGGCGGCCTAAAGGGCCGGGCATAGTTCACGCGATTTCAGTCGTGCCGCGATTTGGACAGATCTAACACTAGCCAACTGCGCATGCATAATGTGTAGAACTTGCGTGGCTTGATAAAATGCCCTATCTTCTGTACATTTAAAAGGTGTTTACAGTGAGTTATGAACAGTTGGAATATTGCCCAATCGCGTCGCGACTGAAATCGCGTGAAGTATGCCCGGCCCTTAACATTTCGACTAATCGTCTTCTTCAGAGGGCTAAAGGTTGAGAGATTTTAGATTTTATGTCTGAATTCTCCCTCATTTTGGCTAGCCCCGATAACACCCCGAAATGATGCAAACAAAAAACAGTCAACAAGACGAGCTTACTAATCCACGTCGGCAAGCATATGTTGAGCGCAGCCCCTCCTCTGCCACCTGTACAAAGAATGGGCATAGCCGTATACGTATGTATTATAGTTGGCAAACCCGGCTCCGCCCGGCCCTGTCAATAACATATTTGTAATGAGCATGCTCGATTACCCCTCTGTGCCAACCAGTCCCGTAGCTCAAATTTTGCAAAAAATCGATAAATTTGATATCGATCGATGACGAAAAGTAGCCTATGACACTCGCCGGGGCCCGAAATGTATGTGTGCCAAGTTTGTCCGGATCGGTTGAGAAGTGGAATTTTCTATTCGGAACATACGTACAGACACACAGACACACAAACAGACATTCAGCTATATACAGGGTGTCCCAAAAAATTGTATCGAACTTTTGATCGTTAATATCTCTCTTCTAAAGGAGTCTTTTCCCTTGCTTCAGGTACCGTTTTGTAGAGCTGGCTTCAACTTAGATTTCCATTATAGAGCAAATCACCCATCTCTCTTCATTACTGTAGGGTTACGGTAGAAACTTCAAAGAGGGTTTTGAACCATGAAAGGTCATATTTTGCCTCAGAAAGGAAACAAAACAGCCTGAAAACTTTTACACCAGGCTAATTAGAATTGCTGATTATGACTGTAAAGTTCCCAACTTATTTTGATGCTTCATTGAAGAGTTATGCCAGATGAGAGGTAGCGGCCTTTTTTTTCAATGTTCCTAAAAAGTGCGATTACACCGTTTAGAAAGCTTCGTAATCTTGTGAATAGTTGAGTATTGAACTCAGCGTCCATAAAAACCCTGTTACACAAGTTTTCACAATTTTTTGAAAAATTTTGAAACGGCAGCTTTTTCCACATTGACACCATATGTTTCAAGTTTCTACCGTAATTCTACAGTAATGAAGAGAGATGAGTGATTCGTTCTATAATGCAAATCTAAGTTGAAGCCAGCTCTACGAAACGGTACTTGAAGCAATGCAAAAGACTTCTTGTGAAGAGAGATATTAACGATCAAACGTTCGATACATTTTTTTGGGACACCCCGTATATAAGACTAGCAACCCTACGGGGAAGTCTGCAGGAATTTTCTGGAAGGAGATCCCATTTTGAGGATAGCTGAAAAATTTTGATTTTTGGCTTCAAATTTTTCCTGAATCACGACTAATGTAGATCTTTGGTGCTCTTTTTGTAGAGCTTGCTCCGCTCTATCGGTACTCTAAGTCTATTAGGAAAACAAAACTCAATTTATCTGGGAATGGATTTTATTTTTGAGACACCAGATATGTGATCAAGTTGGATGTTTGCAGGATCTTTTCGGACGGTTTTTGATTTTTGGGTATGTATTTTAGATTTTTTCCTAAATTTCACGTATTAGGTTGAACAGAATTAATGCAGGTTTTGAATTACAACCGCAATAAGTCATACATTTCTTATTTCTAAGTAGGTTGCAAAGTACCATTCGATAGAGCAAAGCAAGCTCTACAAGAAGGCCATCTTGCCTTAGCAACAACTCTGATCCACCACGAGTTTCGAGCCAAAAACTAAAAAGATTCAACTGCCCGAAAAATTGAGAAAAATCGTAACTTAGTTCATAAAAAGCATACAAAAATTCTGACTTGCTCACGTAAACTTTATTCACATAAGACATCTATATACGCCTTTGCCGTATTTTTTTCTCTGTTTGAAATCAGGAAAACGGAAATTTTCGTGCGTTTGCCAAAGTGATGCTGTGCCGTTCCCACACAAGTAGTTGTATACTACAAAGCCTTAGAAGTACAGACGTAAATTTCCAGCTCTCTACAAGCTTTAGTTCTCGAGAAATTTGAATATTAGCTTGGAATGACTAGCAAAAACTGTATTCGATATTTTTCAAGATATAAAGCTTGTAGAGAGCTGGGAATTTACGTTTATACTTCTACAGGTTTGTAGTATACAACTACTTACTACCACTACTGTGGGAACGGCACAGCATCACTTTGGCAAACGCACGAAAATTTCCGTTTTCTTGATTTCAAACAGAGAAATACGGCAAAGGCGTATATAGATGTCTTATGTGAACAATGTTTACGTGAGCAAGTTAGAATTTTTGTAGGTTTTATGAACTGAGTTACGATTTTTCTCAATTTTTCGGACAGTTGAATCTTTTTAGTTTTTGGCTCGAAACTCGTGGTAGATCAGAGTTGTTGCTAAAGCAAGATTGCCACCTTGTGGAGCTTGCTTTGCTCTATCGAATGGTGTTTTGCAACCTACTTAGAAATGAGAAGTGTATGACTTATTGCGGTTGGAATTCAAAACCTGCATTAATTTTGTTACAACCTAATAGAACGAATCTTGCGGTTTTTCAAATGCTCTTTTAGAGCTTACCCTGCCCTACTGAATGTCAATCGCACATTTTGTATCTTTTATATCTTCTCGCCGCGGCGATCTATGGAAGGCTACATAAAGTTTACCCATCAACATCCAAGAAACCGTTGGCTTTCCTATGAATATCCCGAACAACGTTCAATGGCGCTGCGAATTTAAAATGGTATGTCAAAAAAGTCGAAGAATACTTTGATTGACGCTCTACTACAATGTCAAAAATGAGATTATCCACAGCATGCTCAAAAGAACATGGAAGTCTACAATAGAAGGACAAAGAAGAAAGTCCTAGTGGAAGGCTCCATTTACTGCTCGGATAGATGGCTATTACCGCAATGGACGTCACAGGCCATTTCTCAACTACCAACTAACGCAAAGTTACGATAGCTTTCTTCCTGCCTTTTGTTTCTGACGCCATTAGCGCTTCAGTGCAACGATGCATTAACCGCGCGAAGGTGAAAAATGTTGCTGACACATCAAGAAGCGACTGTCACAGGCTTTACAAAAACAACGCAGATTTACAGATCTCGTAGTTTGCCCCACCGATAAAGGTGATTGTGGTAATTCGCATAGTATGC